TCTAGGTACTTTCTGTGCCTGCATTAGAATCCCACTTTCTAATTTTTTACTCCTTTTTTTTTCTTTCTATGGCTAAATTAAAAAGAAGGGAAAGAAATAAGGTGATAAAAGCTGACATTATGGGAATATTCACAAACTAATACTATTACGCACGTGAAGATCACTTTAAGGCAGTTTTGGTTCAAGGAATTAGGTGGGTTATGTTAATTTAAATTTTGAGATTAAGTTTACCAAGAAATAAGTTAAATAGTCATGTATAATGTAATAATATTTTTATAAATATTATAGTTTGGGTAAAAATTTTTTTTTATCTCATTATAAGTTAATGTTTTAATCGGAGGATTCGCCCATTACAACTTACAAGCAGTGGCAAATTTAGTTCGTAAAATTAGATATTTTATGTATATATTTTTTAAAATCTGTATAATATTATATTTTGACACTCCTATTATAAGAAGTCTAACCGATCCACATGGTTAAATGTTGAGCTTTTGACCTTGAGAAATAAGAATCAATTTCCACTTACTATATTTTTTTTGGTGCACTCATGTTCGAATTAATTCTCACTAAATACATTTTTCTTAATGTCCCATGTTCGAAAATCTTTAATTCGCATTTGATTACAAGGGAGTTTGTTGTATTAAGTAGGATATGGCTGTTACTACTTTCATTCCCAAAATTTGGTATTATTGCTATTGGGAGATTTTTTACAACCAGGGTTATAAAAGGCATTTTTGAGGTGTATAGTAAAAACTATGTTGGATTGATTTGTGGAGGTGTAAGTTCGATCCGTTTGAGCATACGTTGGAAAAACTATTTAATTATACAAATATTTCTATCATATTTATAAATTCTCCTTATAGTTTGAAAACATATTTTCTCACTAATTGATGATTTCATATCAAATTTCAAGTTATACACACCATGATATATGTAATTTTTTACTACCAGATACACTCTGAAATATATATATATATATATATATATAGGGAGAAAGTGGAGTGAAAAAGGGAGAGAGGTAAACGAAAGATGGGAGAGACGAGCAAGATAGGAGGGAGGCGAGAATTGGTATATATATCTCAGATACATGTGAATCACACTAGATATATGTGTGTGGGATACCTGATACATTCTATATACATCAGAGAGATCAAGTGAGTGAGATAGGAGAGAGACAAGTGAAAAGTCAAATACATGTGAATTCACTTAGATACAGTGTATTTGGAACAAATTACACCTAATTTTGATCTCATATATCTGAGATACATGTTGAACGTGCTTGATATATATATTGGGGGACCAAAATATGGTATGAAAATAATTTTGAAAACTCACACGAAGACTGAAGACACGTAATATAAATTATAAACTAATGAAATTTGTGTTGTTTAGCCTTATTTTTGTTCTAAATAATTAATGAATATTCATATTAAAAATATCTAATCTCTCTAGAAAAATTATTTAACCTATATTAAATGAGAATGCCAAAACTTAAGCAAACTTTAGTGGAATCCTTATCATTCCTAAATTTAAGCCTTGTCGATGACCACACAAGTCTATAACTCCACGATCAGTTTTATCCTAACAAATTTCTAAATGCCTTAAATTTAGCCTGAACAAATTGACTACATTTCTAATATACTTTATAAATAATGCATTATGCATACATAATATTTCAAATAATAATGCACTCATCGTATATTAAAATTTTAACATTGATGTACTATTGTGTAATGAGATATTGATAGACTAGCATAATAAGGACAAATTACATATTTAATCGATCAACTAAAAATAATTACATTCATTAGTCGAGTCCGGAGCCTAAAGGGCAAAATATTTGACAAAAATTCAAAAAGGGCACATCAAATTTTTTTCTAACCAAAAGGGCAAAATCGCTACTGATGTAGCGATTTTGATTTGACACTGTTAACAAATTAAAATCGCTGCCCTATCAACGATTTTGTCCAACTTTTTTTTTTTTCAAAAAAAAAAATCGCAAAAACGCTGCACGGGCAGCAATTTTATGAAAATAATAATAATAAAATTGGACAAAATCACTGATAGGGCAGCAATTTGATTTGTTAACGACGTCAAAACAAAATTGCTATGTCAGTAGCGATTTTGCCCTTTTGGTTAAAAAAAATATTTGATGTGCCCTTTTGAATTTTTTGTCAATTTTTTTTGCCTTTTAGGCTCCAAACTCTTCATTAGTCAAATACACATTAAAAAAAGGCCAAATAAATATACACCGTTAAATTAAAAACTGATGTCTATTTATGTCAATTTTTATATAATTATATGGTAACTTGTCTACTTGAGTATATTAATAATATATTTATAATAATATAGATTTGAATATATATAATACAATTATTTATACATAGTAATGGTATATCAAATACTAACAACATATAAACTTGGGAAGTTAGTTAGATGAGAGAGAATGTGAGATTATTTTGAATTTAAAAGATTATATTTTGATTGGCATAATCCCTACTTTGAAGTTGGAAATAATTTAGGATTATGAAATTTTCTAAAAAAAACAATAAATTATTTTAAATTAATTTTAAAGAGTTGTATTATTGGTATATAAATTCCTCAATTCAAATCACTTGTTCGATGGCAGCCCAATAAGTACGAAACAGGGCTTAAAGCCCATCAATAGCCTCTATATAACAGAGAGTCGGATCCATGTGAAACCCTAATTTTACTTTCTCCTCCTCATAATCGGCAGTTAACGCCGCCGGGAGAATACTTTTGTTTGTTTGATTCGTAAATTTCATGATTTTATTTTTCTATTTGTGTTTGATTTGATCTGATTTTCGTTTTCTGCTTTGTTAATTTCAATGTTGTTCTTATATTTTGCCCAATGATGGAAAATCTATATTTATTGAGCGGCTGTGATGGTTATAGATTCATCAGTTGCCTTTGTGCATCACCTGAATATCAGCGGTATCCACCATTCTTTCTCCCTTTCCCTGTCTCCCTCAACATTACACACAAAAGCACACTTACACTTTTGCCGCTGATGTTTATGGTGATGTATGAAAGGCTTCTGATGAGTTCCATCACGATTAGCTGTCTGTGATTTGAAGCTATGAGATCTGAGGGCTTTACAGTTTTTTTTTCTCACATTCAGTACAGATATAATCCCTTTTGTGGGTATAACTTGATAAATTTGCATAACTACTAATTATGCAAGTGCTTGATTTTTGTATAATTAACGTGATTTGAAGAGTAGAATTTTCACTAGAATAGAATTTTAAAAATTGGTAGGATACAGTGTTTGTAATGCGGTTGTGAGTTTTTTTAGTTGATTTTAAAGGTCAAACAATTCATATATAATTATTAACGTAATGCACAAATGATGAAAATAATTTTCCTCTAAAATTTCGCATCTTTTTAATGACAATCTTGTTATTTGACTATTATTTGGATTGAGCCATAACGATTGTTCCATAGATAATAGCAATAGAACACTTGTAAACCGAAATTATTTTTCGTCATCCTTTCAATAGTGGAGATATTTCCAAAATCATAAATTGATTTGTATAGTAGGGTTACACTAGACACGTAAAATAATCGAGAGTCTAAGATAATCAGGAAAAAAGTCTTTATCTTTATATATTGAATGGTATTAATAAAAAAAAATTATAAACCTATTGATTATCTCAACTCATTATGAAAAAATAATTGAGATCAAATATTAAAAATATGCTTCAATTGTATATGGAGAAAAAAACTTAATTTAGCAGTAATAGTATTACTTTAATGACCATGGATTTCTGACAGATTTGAAACTCATAAAATTCACGGCTTCATCCTAATTCGATTTTGCTACTCACTTGTTTTACATTTTTCCAATCACTAATGTAGAATAAAAACACGTACCAGTAATGCAATTATTAAACTATTGAAAGACAAATTAATTTTTGCATAATATTCTCAAAATTAATAGGAGTAATCAGAGTATAAAAAAAATTAATTCTTGCATGATATTCTCTTATATAATTAATAATAGGAGTAATCAGAGTATAAAAATTTTCTGCAATATTAATACAAAACTAAGATTCTATTTGACATTGCTATTAAAAACGATTTATTTTTATAAGCACTTTCTTAAAGTAGTTTTTCAAAAATATTGCAAGAAAAAGTAATTTATGTTTGATTAATTTATTTGTAAAATGTTTTCATAAACAAATTGTGTTTGACTGATCTTTTTCAAAAAATGCTTTTAAGAGTCAAATTACAAAAAATGACAGCTATTAATGTACTTTTAATATTAAAATTATTTTATAGAGAAAAAATATTAAATATCTATTTTAAATAAGTTAATTAAACTTTTTTTAAATTAAATTAAAATGTATATATTTAAACTTTCAACCAATATTATATGGTATATATACCCCTTCTTTTTTGGGAGGATTTAAATCTTTAATTTTTTTTTTTCTTTTTTTCACATCTTACAAAAATATTGTTATTATCTTCTTTTTTTTCTTTCTAATTCTGTAAAATTATACGTAAAATAATATGTAAAATATAAAACACTAATATATAAAGGTAAAATAAAATATAAAATTTATTACATAAAAATAAAAAATAAAATTCTTAGACGAAATTTAACCAAACTTATTAGATATGCTAATTAATTAATAATAGCTATATTGGTAAATATGTTATATTAAAGTGATATTTTAGTCTTGACAAAAATAATTTTTTGTTTCGTATCTGTTTTTTTTTAAGAACAAAAATTTTCAGATTCTTTCAACAATAAAAGAAAAACTGTCTCTATTTAAAAACACTTTTATTAATTTCTCTAATACATTAAATACTTTTTTTATATATATAAAAAATAAAAAAAGTGTTTCTGCCTCGAATAGCATTCTCAAACCAAACTGAAACCACCCCTTAGGTTTGTTTATTGGTGTTTGGGGTCAGAAGCTCTTAGCGTTTTCTCTTCAACAAAAGTTAAACTCTTAACAGCAAGTTTTGAAGTAATGTCGGAGTTGAAGGCAAAGTGTTTGAAGAAAGCAGTGGTTCCTTCCACTCTAATACAGCATCCATCCCCTGCCAATCTTCAGTCTACTCGTCTTGCCATTCATGTCCGTTAATTCCCTTTTCTCAAAATTCAGTTTTTTTTTGCATACCCAATTCAATTTAACTGTTTCTCTTTCTTCTGCAGATGAATGATGATAATGATTCTTCTTGTTGGGTTTACATTGCTTCTGGTTCCCGCATTTATAAAGTTCTTGTAAGTCCTTCCCTAAATGCTTTATACATGTATAATTAACTCTTCATATGTACCAACTTGTGTTCATAAATCAAAACTCAGTATATAATGATGTATTATTATTATTATTATTATTATTATTATTCACTCTAGTCCTTTTGCTTTGTCTGTTGAATTCCAGTAAGTTAAATTTAGTTGCAATTATTCTCTTGCCCCATTTAAGAGAGGGCAATGAAATTCTCTTTACAGTGATTGTAATTTCATCACTTGCATGTCTCAAGGTAAAATTACAAGCTATAGGCCCAATGGTGTATTCAAAATTTTCATTAAGGGGTTCAAAAAATAAAAATATAGTGCTTGGGATTTGAATTTTGATCCCCCTAAACCACTAAGCCAACCTCTAGTCTTGTGTGTAGGGGATTTGAAGTCTATATATATACACTAAAAAAAAGAACTTTATATACGTAGTGTAATTTTTTGTCAAGGGTATTCGGATGAACACCCTCGCCCCCTCCTAGATCTGCCCTTGGCTATAACGAGACAGAGAGATAGATTTGAGGATTGAGGGGAGGAGCTGAGTAAGCTGCTTTGTTATATTGCAGATTGTTATCATGTACTTATACCACTTTGTTCCTCTATTATAATTGTTGTACTTATCTGGTCTATATATGATGATGAGTTCATATTGATTTCACAAACATGCCTGAAGGCTATTAGCTGCATATAAACCTTACTAAATGTGTTGATAAACATGTTGGATTAAGAAGCAACGGATGTTCAATTTGTTTTCATTTTCACTGTACAGATTCCAATGGAAAATTCACTGCTCAATCTTGGAAAGGAGGACCTTCTAATTCCTGAACAATGTGAGGTACACTTGCCATTTCTTCTATCATGATGAAAGATGTTAATTGTGAAGTAGCTTACTAATATTGTTAATTTGAAGGTTCTAGAGGCTTCAGTGGTCAATCACTGCCCACATCGATCAGAAATCCAAAGTATAATGCTAGCTGAAACTGAAAGTAAGATATGGAGATATTTACCTTTTGAATTTTGGTGGCCCTTCGCGATATTCTTAAAAGCTTGTTGTTATTATTCTCTTATTCTGAAATTATCTTCTTAAGTAATAAACCGAAAAGCTTGCGGCCCTGTATATTTGAAGGGCTTCCTACCACTTCTTCTTTAAGAACTTGCTGCTATTGTTCCTACTAACTTCACTAGTTTTTGGCTGCACGGTGCTTATTGCTACTACTGTCCATTAGTTTACAAATAATTTCTATTATGTATTTGAAGCAGCTACTCTTTACCTTTCAACAGCTTAATGATCTGTCTGGTTCTCTACAGGCCCTGGTTGCTCAATTCTGGGAAGTGTGGATTCTTATGGTCACCTTATTGTCTCTAGATTGGATGCCAGTGGCGACGGTATCTCTCCTATTTATTTTTCATTACTTAGCTGAACGGTGATGGATTCTGTTAAAAATTAGCAGAATCTTGGAGTTGAAATTTTGGTTTACCTCCTGTTAAACCTATTTTATGTCCATTGATATAGGCGTAAGACTGCTGTTAGTTAATAACTAAATTTACCAATCATGGGGTCTGATGTGCTCACTTAATAGTTTGGTTTTGCTACTTATAATTTCACTAAAGAATCTTCAGTAAAGATGCTATATTTGAATTACTATTACCTGGCATATAAGTGAAATAGTGTACCAACTTGATTTGAGAAATTTATGATCTTGCTAATTTGAATAGATCTAAGAGAAATTGTTATTGACATGGACCACCCATGACTTTTACTGATGAGTTATTCCCACATTTACTCTAGCATGATATTTGGGTTACAGCTTGATGAATTCCTCATATTCTAGATGTCAACGGGCTTACATATTCTGTCTCTCCTCGAGATTGCGGTGTTGGAGAAGGTAGCTGGGCAGGCCTGTGCTTCAATCCCACTCAACGATCCATGGTATTTCATCTCATATGTTTCCTAGGTTGGAGTCTGTAATCATTAATGTTGATGCTTCACATCTGTAGCTTCTTCCTGTTCACTTCAAATTTGTAGGAGAACCACAAATTAACAAATAATTAATGGGCACTTTGAAGCAAGTTGATCCTAGAAAACTAATCTCGTAACTCACTTAGATCAATCAGTTCAAGCATTGTATTGTGCCCGTGGGTGCAAAATAGAGGCAGTTGGTGTGGAGGGGAAGCCTTGTCCTTGTCAGCTGACTAATTTGCAATCCATTTCTTGTTGTGTATTTACCATTGTGCTTCAATGTAGCTTGTGTCCTTTGCCTGAGATTTTTCCAGATAGACTAGTCTGCCTTTTTTAACCTCTACCATTTACTGAGAAATTTGAAATGTTGGCATTGACTAGCATCCGAATATCCTCATCTCTGAATGTAGCATTGCCTGTTTTTGTTTTTGCTCCATGTGAACTGGCTTACTAAGCTACACAACTTGTTGGTCAATGTACCTGATTAAAACAGTGGGTTATTCTTGGTGTTATATTGGCTATTCAAATGAACTTTAAAGCACCTTCTTTTTTTTCTGAAACTTGTGAGTTGTGACAGTAACTCTAAGCATTTTTAAGTTGATGATTTGAACCTTGGAAGGAAAATGAGACGGTTGATTTTGTTCTTCTGCACAATCATTTCCTTTTTTTTCTTTTTCTTTTTGACATCCTCTGTGCGTGTGTGTCTTGGAAAGAGTAAGTGTTTCATTTGTGGCATATTTCTTGCCTTCTGCCTGAATTTCAGTATTTTCTGGCCTTTGACCTCAGGCAGCTGTGGCTCACAGTTTCTCTAAAACCATTGATGTCTATGACCAAGATATTCATGTCCGTACATTACGTCCGTAAGTGCTTATCTTTGCTTCGGAGACAGTAGATCATTTACAGTATAATCTCAAACTTTTCATTCTATTTTTGCTACTATGCTTTCTATTTTTGAGATATTGTTTATATGTACAGCAGCACGTCACAAAAAAATCATACATCTCTAGCATTCATATATCCTTTCAAGATAGCCTGGACTGTTTTATTCTCACTTGGAGGCATTGCTAGACTACTACTACCATGGAAGTGTTAGAATATTAATAGGTTTATACAATCCTATTAGAATAGGAATTGGTTTACACAATCCTATTAGAATAGGTATAGGTTTATACAATCCTATTTAGAATAGGAATATGAATACAAATAGGAATAGTAAATAGTATCCTACTTGGTAAAGGATTGTATTCTAATGTCTATAAATAGGGTCTCAATGTAATAATGTAGACACAACAACAATTCAATAATATTATTTTCCTATATTTCTCACAGGAGGCTTTTCTGCTACCTTGTGCCTTTTAAGCAATGTTGTTAATAAAAAAGAAAACCAGTAAACTATTGCCTGATGCTGATTTAATTACTCGTGACAGATATAAACAAATCTGAATAGTGGTTTCTGCAAACCTTGTTTTTGTGGATTAATTACTGTTTCCATAAAGACAATTTGACTGTTCTATATTTCTAGAGCTCTTATATGCATGACTTGAGTCCTCAGTTTGCATCTCTCTCTTTGTGTGTAGGGATTTGTGTTGGCATGTCTTTATATCTTAATATATCAACCAAAAAACGAAAGAAATCAAAATAAAATGCATGGCAATAGTTACCGTGATGGTTTGGGAGGTGGCTCTGGTCAGCCTCCTATTATGTTTTTATATCACGTGTAGAAAAAGTTCCACAAAAATATCTAACAAAAAATTTATAGAATTGGTTGTACCTGGTTTTATGAAAGATTATGATTGACATTTATCTTGGAAAAGGGGGCGGGGGGTGGCTGGTTCAATAATCAAGGATTCAATCATAAGCCTTCTATTGTTGAAAGCCATCTCTATGTCGCTCTGGTGTTATTGAAAGCCAACACTTTAGTGTTAGAGGAAGAGAACATTCAAAATGCTGAGGCACTACTGAAACTGTAAGATCTAGCCAGGTTGGAAGAAATAACTTGCGGCAGAAGTTTTGGTGCATATGGATCCCACAAAGGTGATAGGAACATATGGATTATTTTGATGGAGGATTGGCTGAAGATCAGGAAGCGATAAAAGAAGAGATATGAAGTACTACGTCAATCTATATAAGGAACCTATCAAATCGAGACTCTCCTTTGGACAGAAGATATCCCCAAAATTTACAAGGAAGAAGAGGATTGGTTCCGAAGATTTTCTAGTGAATAGGCGAAGGACAAAGCAATCAAAATGCAAAGGTAGTTGAGCCCCTAGCCCTAATGGTCTCACAATGTCATTCGATCATAATTGGTAGCCCATAATTAGGGGAGGCCTTCTGCATGCAATCCACAAATGTAAAAAATCATGAGAAGTTTCATCTCTCGTACATTGGCGTGATACCTAAGAATAATGAGGTTGAAAAACTTGACTTTAACAGTACTAATTCTCAAAAAAAAAAGAAAAAAAAGAGAGGATTTTAAGCCTGTCAACCTAGTGGGGAGCTTCCACAATTCATCATTAAGTTGCTTACAAAATCTCAAAAATGTTATGAAAAAGCTCTTGGCTGATACACAAACAACATTCACATAAAGGGAGTCTATAGATTGTATACATTACTGCCCGAATCACAAATGAATGCTTAAAGAGAAGGAGGCAAGTAAAGCTGGGGTAATCTATAGAAAAAGGTTTCAATCATGTTAATTGGAGTTTTCTGTTCTGATAAGAGAAATCGCACTCACTGAAATGGATAAATTGCATCAGTTAGTGCGTTTCTTTGTTATAATGATAGTGGATGATATTAATTTGATGCTAAAGAAAGCCATGCACTTGACATTGATATATTACTTTTACATTGAGAGAGGAAGTGTCATTTCTTTGGCCATCTCTCACCACCTTATATACACTGATGACATTCTCATAATATGTGATACAGATAATAGACAGGTTGAGTATATAGAAATCATCCATCTTTGGTTTTGGCCTTCTCTAGACTTTATATAAATCTGGAGAAAAAATTCCTCTTTCCTGAAGTTCAGAAACTTGAGAACTGGCTGCTAATTTGGGAAGTAATATTGGATCTTTACCTAACTATGTACTTAAGCATATGCCTTTGGTATGGCCTTTAAATGAGTGTACATCTGTAGTGGAGTCATTGAAAAGGTGGAGAAGAAGCGGTAATTGAAAAAGGCAATCCTTATGTTGTGTGGGAAACTGACTTTAATAAACAGCGTGATGGATGCTTCCCCAAACTATGCAATATCTTTATTCCTATGCCAGCATGGATAGAGGAAGACAGGGCTAGAAGAAATTTCTTATGGGAAGGGAACAAAGAGAAAAGTAATTCTATCTAGACAATCTCCCTATGAAAGCTAATATTTATGTTGGTACCTAAGTTAGTGAGCATGAGTTGGTTGTTCACAGGTTGCAGTATGTAGAAGCTTTACTATCTAAGATCTTAGATTGCATTTTTGACACACACAGGGGCGGACCTACGTTGTAGGTTTCGGGTGCTTGAGCACCCACGATCTCAACGCGTAATGCGTAAAGTTAGACATAATTTTTTTTAAAACTAGTATATTAAATAGTTGAGCACCCAGAAATAATAAGGTGTCTTAGCTGCTTTGGTTTGGAAGTTGAATATCCAGTGCTCAGCACGTGGGAGTTTGGGCGTTCGAATCTCGGTTGAAGCATTAACTTTTTTCTGTTTTGTTACTAACGTCCTTCATATATTACTAGACATTTTCTCTTCTTTTTTCTTTTTTTCAATCTTCTCCCTTTTTTCCGCTTAACATTTCAATCTTAAATTTTTTGTTTAGTTTATTTTTTCACTTTTTTAATTTCCTGTATCTCATTTATTACAACAAAAAAAACTTAAGCTTTTAAAACTTCAGAGCATAAATATTTGTAATTGTTAATTTGCGATATGATACAATTATTCAATATCTTCAAAATATGAAAGGTCGTCGAGAATCGTACTACTAGAAGGTTCTTTTTCTAAATAAAATAAAATAATATATATATATATATATATATATATATATATATATATATATATATTAATCGTAGTTCACTCGGTAACTTATGACTAGAAGTCTTATTTTTAATAATAAGACTTTTATTTTCACTTTAATTAAAATAATTATACATTTATATTAAGAAGTGAGCACCCATGATCTTAAAATCCTGGATCCGCCACTGGACACACATGGTCTTTCAGATGACAAATAATTTAATTTGTAAACTCTCTTTTTTTGTTTGGCTTAAATAAATTTTAGAAATTTATTCAAAGAAAAAAATCACATTGCAGATTGTGGCATCCATCTTCACTTATGTTCATGCAAAATTTGGACTTAGGCGGTGGAAATTCTGTATTAGCAGTTGCAGAAGGTTGCCAGGTAATGTTTCTATGTTATTTATCTCTTATGTTGGAATCATGCAGAGAATGTCTTGTTCTTTGCTGATTCATTTCATTCTCTGCACTCCATACTGGCTGCAGCTGACAATATGGGACTTGCGAATGAAAGAAAAGGGTGGTTGTGTGCGTCGAATCTGTGGATCTGTAGGAGATAACTTGTATGCAGTCTGTAATTCTTCAAAAGGTACTATTGCGGCAGGTGGAGCTGACCGCACTGTGACTGTCTATGATCCTCGCAGGTTATCTCCTCATAAGGCTTTACTTTGCTTTTAGTGGTTGTTCTAGTGTTGATCTTACAGTGTGCTTGTGTACTTGATCAAATTTCAGATAACTTGGAATATACTATGTTAAGGAATTTGTTCTTGTCTGTTATCTCATATATTTCTCGTCTTGTGCATTCTTTTGAAAGGAATATTGCCAGTTCTAGCATTAGGATATGTTTACACTTTCAAATTATATTGAAATCTACAATTTTCTCAGCTTTCTATGTTTGCTTCAGAGTCCCGGTGGGTAACATAGTTCCCGGCAGATTTGATTGTGTAAGAGGGTTGATTTATTTTCCTAACACACTGATATAAATATACATTTCTATTACAGGTGGTCAGCAGTGTCAAGATGGCTAAACTGCTCTAAGTATGAGGTCAATCTTGTCCTCCCCCCCTCTCTCTCTCTCTCACACACACACATATACACACATTTATTTATATATTAGTAGCTGTTTTCTGTCAATAAGGTATCAAAGGAATTTCTAAAAAGAAGTCCAGCCAATAGCATCCTTGTCTCAAGTGAGGCCACAATTGAAATTGTCTGGTCAAAATTTTCTTTCATCTCATTTTTTCGTTACTTAAATCTCAAGTAACATTCTTTTTGGGTTCTTTTTCCATATCCTTGCTGTGCATCTTTTCTTTCATGATTCTTTTATTACGCCTATGCTTTGTGTTATAATTACTATAATGTCTCATGCTGCTACAGATAACTGGACTTGCTTTCTCTTCCGTTGATCCTGAATATGTCTATGTACAAGGAGTTGACTACGAGGTGACTATTTCACAACTAACCTTTTATAGTTTTCATAAATCTTAAATAGAGAATCTGAGTTTCATCTTTACTCCAGCATATATCCTCCCTTCCATAAAATGCAGTACTCCCTAGATCCAACATTGATGTAAAATTTCAGCACAGCTACTAGACATTTACATGAATCTTAAATAGACTTAAATAGAGAATCTGAGTTTCATCTTTACTCCATCACATATCCCTCCTTTGATAAAACGTAGTATTACCTATATCCAACCTTGGCGTAAAACTTCAGCACAGTTACTAGACACTCCTTGAAAGGATGTTCAAACTCTTTTTTTGTTATTCCAACTTGTAACCTCATTTCCTTTAAACATAGTTCTTCCTGTTAAAATCCAAAATTGCTGTAGTTTTTAAGCGTGGCAGACAACTCCTACCAAAATTAGGTATTTTCCCTCTATTCTTTTTCTCCAGGACTCTGAAGTTCATTTGAATGTTGGAAGTCAATATCTCCCCCTACATGGTAGATTACATGTTCATCTGCTATGATTACAATGTTATTACTCCTTTTTTCCTTCATAGTAAAAGCATAAAGCAAAAAGTAAATTTCTCAAAAAGTAAAAGGACAGAGCAAACTGTACATGTGATACCTAGTTCTTGCAATTTAGTTGTTCCCTTCTGCAGATTTTTTTTCCCTTTTCATCTTTAGCATTACCATTCACTATTGCCAATTTTGAAACATCAGTCTGAACATAGTGATCCCCGGGGGTCTATTGCCCTGTGAAATGATACTGACGTTGTAATCGATTTTTTGTAGTTTTGAGGGCCAAAATGACAATGTTTATAACTTGAGAATTTAAAAGGCTTTGTACCACATCTATCTAGGCTTTCATTTTAATTCCATGCTATACGTGGTGCATTTGGACTTTTGTTCCTCATCACAACCATAATTCAAGTTGTGATCAATTTGGTTCTTTATACCTTTCATTTTTCTCCTTTTTCTTGGGATATTTGAGAGAGTCATTAGTTTGAACTGCAGGTATGACCTGCAAGGATTAGACAAACCTATATACTTCCTGTGACTCTATTGTTTGATGACAGATTTGATATATACTTCTTCACAGGTCGTCTGTGGACGATGGCGTGAAAGCAAGAAAATATTTTCGTATCGAGGAGATTCTAATTGGCTCGGATTTAGCAAGGTAAGAACAAAGTTTAAGTGTACGATGCAAATTATCCAATCCAGTTGGCAAGTTTGCTGTAAATAACTTCCACCTATGCAATTCCGTCAATGGAAATCTCAAGTTCGAAACCCCTTGCCAGTGAAAGCAAGGGGTTTGCCTTTTGGGTCGAGCTCGTCACACCGGGCTTGCCTGGTGCAGGTTACCTCTCCTATGTGGTTTGCGAGCTATTGCATAGGAATGGGAGTTTTACCTTGTGCGCGCACCCAAAGGTAGCGGCTGCGGGTTTTCCTCGTCATCAACAAAAAAAAAACTAACATTCTTGTAATTCCACCTCCATTTAATTCATCCAATCGTTATTTTTTGACAGTGTTCAGACAGGGATGTCTTGGGAGGTTGGTCCGACTCAGGTAGCATATTTGTTGCTGATATTCGTGCTGTGAACGGATTACACCTATCAATTGACTTAGATGTCCCTGCTGCAACCAGTTTATTTTAATTTGTTTTTAGGGTGTATGCCTTAGAATTTGAGGCGTAAGCCCCTAACGTTAAATTTAACTTTTGTTGTTTTGAAGTATTTTTTGCTATAGATCATGTTTTCTTTATCCGTTTATATAAGTTTGAAATGGTACTTATAAGTTTATAATGAATGAGCCAACACAACAAGTTCTTTCTTTTTATTTTATTTTTGTAATTTCCTATCAAGACTTTTGTCAAAATTATTCTCTTTGGATATGAAAATGTAATACTTTCAATTATTATAAAATTTTCTGCAAATTGAACGAGTCAATTTAGATGAATCTTTCAAAGGTCAAGATATGTAGGCATTGAGGAGACAAGATCAACTTGAAATTAAACAATTTTATTATCTTCTCAATTATTTTTGGACCCTATAAAAAGTTTATAGAGTTCCAATAGGGTGGGTCCACCCCAAAAATAAAACTTGGGCAATACTTAATATGGACCTACCTTTATCTAGACTAACACCTCCAATGCCTATGGAATTGTACCACCTCACCACTCCAAAACCCTAACTACCCAAAAAAAGGGGAAAAGAAAATACTACTATTAATTAAAATAAGTAGATAACTTAGCAAGGGTGTGACTTAGTGGTTGATGGATTAAAATTATTAAATTTCAAAATTTTACCGATAATATTTTCCTATTTATCCAAGCTTTAGTGATGGAATTTTACTTTTTATCTATGTCGATATCATGATTCAATTGAAAGGTGATCAAATTGATTTGAACACCAAAATTATAAGAAAATAGATAGGTCGCTTAATTTATTTCTTTATTTTTTATGTTCCACTATTCTAATAAATGCAAGTCGCAATCAAGGGGTTTTTGATAGAGACAAAAAATCAGTTTTGGAACAAAACTAGTAAAAAAGTTGGGATTTAGTGATGGAACTATATCCTACTAATTTTTTATACTGTGGACCCTAGAGTTGTGGGACTTTGCAAAATCACATGCTTTGTGCTTCTTCCTTCTTTAAAGTTTTTGTATAAATCTAATTTAGTAGTAGCTCAATTTTTAATCTTTTTTGGTCATTTTTATTTGCTCACTGTATACTAAAAATAAATGTTCATTTTACTTGTTTAGTTTTTTTAAAATTATTATCTTATATCAATTTTATCTTAATTATTAAGTATTATTTTTCAATGTATTATTTTTAAAATACATATCATTTTGTTAATTACTTCTTAAGGAGTTTGTCAAATCGAATATAAATAAATAAAAATAAACAAATGAAATGTTACTAGTAAAGGCAAAACAAATAAAAGTGAATTTGATTTTCATGACTAAAAGTTCACTTAATTATCTTACTTTTCAATCCCTAAAAAAAGTGGTTTAAGGATAGGTAATATATTAATATGTATAATATAGGGGTGTGCATTATTCGGATTAAATCAAATAATCAAATCAAATCAAATTTTTAGTTGGATTGATTTTTTGGTTTTTTGGGTTTTCAGATTGATTTTGGATTAATAAATTACTTTGTTTGTTTTATTGGTTTGGTTTCGGGTTTTAACCACTTTTGTCCCTTTTTGGTTGTTTGAATTACATCTATAATAGGTATACTTATAAGTATTGAGTTTTAAGTTTTACTTATGATTTATATTAGAAAGTATATTTAAGGGATTAAATATCATTACTTTGGTTATGTTATTAATTATTGACATAACCGAATAACCAAATCGAAAAAAAACTGAACCGAATAGGGAAAAATCAAATCAAACCAAATTTATTTTGGATCAGATTGGGTTACACTTTTACAAAATAAAAAACCAAAAAATCCAAATAAAATAGTGCAAAACTAAACCAAAAAATTGAATGCACACCCCTAGACTATAATATAAAGGAAACTTTTGGAAAAGTGAAACTTGAAGCACAAGTTTTGGCACTTTTTTATGGATATTACTAGTTAATTATTGGGGATCCTAATTATTAATCAATTAACTCCTGATTTGATTGGTTTTCGACATTTGACTAGTTGATTTTCTGGAAAAAAAATAACACCTCAAAACTACTCCATTGACAAATAGCAGCAAAACCCCTACTTCCTCCGTTTAAAAAAGAATGGTCTAGTTTTCCTTTCAGTCTATTTAAAAAAAAATGACTCATTTCCTTTTTTGGCAATACTTTAACTTCAACTGTCCACGTGATATGTTTAAGACCACAAGATTAAAAGACATTTTGGTACATTTGACATAACTTTAATTTATAACCACAAAATTAAAAAGTTTCTTTCTTTTCTTAAACTTCGTTCTAAGTTAAATTAGGTCATTCTTTTTGTAACGGAGGGAATAATATTTATTTCAAAAAACAAGGAACAAATCTTCTTGCAATAATATTGATAAAAGAAAAAAAATAGAAGATATTCATTTCTCCGACTATTAGGATCGCTTGGTTGATGGAATAAGAAATTTAGAATTTTGAGATAAATTGTGAAATTATTGTTTTTCATATTTGGTACAATTTTTTATACCATAATTATACCTATTTCTATACCATATTTTATATGGGACAGCAATTTCTAGATTACTAAAATGAAACAACAAAATACTCCCTCCGTTCCATTTCATATGAGATAGTTTGACTCGGTACGGAGTTTAAGAAAGAAATGAAGACTTCTAAAACTTATAAAGTAAAATGAATGATAGAAATCTGTGTGGTTATAACTCATTTCATTAAAGGTAAAATGAATATTTTACAGTTAAATTGTTAGTATTTAATATAGAATTGTATCATTCTTTTTTAGATATTGGGATAGAGGGAGTAATACATTTGCCTTTTTTCGATGCTTTCTCCCAACGTTTTGTAAGAAAAGTCCAATTAAACTAAACACATGTTTTATATATATATATATATCATTTTTAATCCAACGTAATTTAATATTTATCGATAAAAATATATTTACTACAGAAAATCCTATCATTATTTAATTTTTATATTATAACTTTGAGATAACTGGCCAGCAATCAACTCTTTTTAAAAGGGATAAGAGATGCATATTGATATATCCTCTTAGACATGTGGATATGTTTAATTAAAATGTTATAATCTTTTTAATCTAATAAATAATAGTTAATTGTGATTCCATGCTTCTTAAGCTTATGACATATCCCTATAATAATTCTGATATATCAAAATAGTTGAGAGGACGGAACACCACAATATTATATAACATGACCACCATCTAAGTTGGCCATTTAATTTACTCATTTTATTTAATTATGACAACAACTTGATAGTTCAATTATTCACAAATTCTTATGACATTCTACCATATTATCTTTGGTGATGGTGATAGATTTTTCTAATATCTTAAACCATTAAAATATTTTATACATTTTTGCGTTGCACGATGAACTTAATTATTAAAAAAATAGCTTCGAGAAGAAGACCCCAAACCTACTAACTATATATAATATAAATTCATGATATCTATAATATAAATTTCTTTCGTTACAATCAATTCTTTGTTTCGATGTGATTAATAAGATGTGGATCTTTCATGTATCTTAATTTGTATAATGTATAATGATATGATGTGAAGAAGAGTTGAACTTTAAAATTAAAAATAAATATTCCTACATGTTTTAGTTTTGTTGATAGAGTTATTTAATATTCGTTGTTAGTTGGAGAGAATTGGAATGTTATGAAATTAGTTGAGATGTACGTAAGTTGATCCAAACACCACCACGATTATAAAAAAATAAAAATAGATGACAACTATTCTATTGTGTTTGTTGAAGTAGGAAAATAGAAAGTGACAATAGGTCCCATTGCTGGATTCAATCTTGGATTATGAGATCACTATGTTAAGTTTATATGAATTGTTCACATTGCTTGCTAAGAAAACATGGAGTATAATTATTAATTAAGCTACCGATTAAAGTAATTATCGGGATTTTTTTTATTATTCTCAGAAAATGGTTTGTCTCATGTCTTTTTCCGTTTTAAACTCTTTAAAGATGCACTTCTATATTACTTTTTAAAACAAGTAATATGAATTGGAAAGGTATTTAGTGATAACTAGTTAAGTGTATGTGCTTTTAGTTTGGTTGTTAGTTATGTTCATGATCCTAATTTACTTTGGTTGTTAATATTATAAATATGGGTGTCATATTATTACATATTTTCAACGTAGTGAGAGATACATTCAATGTGTAGAGAGATATACTCAATGTACAAAAATACAAGAGTTATTGAGTTATTTAATAATGCCTTCTACCTCCTATTTGTAGATTAATAGATTTCTTCTATATAAAATCATTGTTGAATCTTTCACTTGTGCATATATTATTACCTTGAATAATTTTATTTCCTTCAAATTAATATCAGAGCTTGTGTGAGATCCTTATAAAAGCCTTGTGTGAGATCTGATAAAAGCCTTGTACTGTGAGATCCTATTAAAGCCTCATGTGAGATCTGACATATACAAAAGAATATGAGTATTCCATATTTACCCGACTGTCTCATTTTTGTGTGCTTGATGGTAAAAATAATTTTGAGAGTTGGTATCAACATATGAAGAATTTTATCAAAATTGTTGGACTATGATCCATTATTGATATTGGATTCGTGAATGCCCCAGAGAGCACAACATTGACTGGTAAATTTGTAAAATAATTGGAGAAAAGTAAAAAATTAAATTATAAGCATGATTTTATCTTGATAGAAAGGTTGAATTGCATGTATATAATAAAATTCTAAGAAGGCTTGGACAATGTTAACAAAAACACATTGACGTGTTACAGATGTGAAGAGAGAAAAACTTTAAGAACTTTGAAAACAGTTTGAGTTGGCTCAAATGAAACCAACATAATCAATCAAAGATTTCTTTATGAGATTCAAAGAAATGGTCAATGGTTTAGAATCAATGGAAAAGTATTAGAAGAAGTTAAAATTATTTAAAAAATATTAAATTTTCTCAGTTAAGAGTTTCAGACAATAAGACAGATGTTGAGTCTATCTGAAATCTGAATACCTTAAAGCTTG